TACTGCCTATATCTAAGGAAAGTTAAAATCTAGGATTGTGGATTGACTCTGAGCTGAGGTTCACTAAACATGTTAGCCATCTCTGTCAAGCGTCCTTTAATGTACTTAGGCAACTCTTTCCAAACAGACGTGTGCTTTCTAAGCATTTGAAGCTTTCCTTGTGCGAATCTTTGATAATGTCTAAGCTGTCTTATTGTGATAGCGTTTATGGCCCTGCTCTCCTGAAAACTGATCAGAATCGCCTTCAGAGAATACAAAACTCTAGCGTTCGATTCTCCTTTGGTATTCGTAAATTCGACCACATTAGTGCCGCATTCGATGATTCTGACTGGCTGAGGCTGAACGATCTTCGAACTCTACACCTTTTATCGATAACTCACAAAGTTCTAACAAGGAACACACCTGAATATCTTTTTGAAAAACTCAGGACATTCTCAAATCTAAACAATCTCAGAACACGAAATAGACACGTTCTTGCTATTCCAACTCACTCCACTGCAACTTTCACGAGATGTTTCTCATACAATGCTGCAAAATTTTACAACCAGCTCCCACATGAATTCAGGCTGTACACACTGAGCAATTTCAAAAAAAGACTGAAACATCTACTGAAGGATAGACAGTTTATATTTGTACGTTGACCAACTCCGCTGATTTCTTAGTATAACATTATTCTAAATTTTATATAGTAATTTGTAATGATTTTTCCTTATATTTGATATTAGCTTTTACTCTTCCTTCCCTGGTTAAGTTGAAAAACAGCTATATAGCTGACACTTCGCCTTTTCATCATTTGTTCTTCTTATTTCACTGTTCTCTATTTTGTATGTAGAAATTATAATGATGAATAAAGCCGCTTTATTATTATTAATATTATTATTATTATGTAGATGAAATTGGGGTTTGTAATGCCTGGTATATCTACGCTGCAAAATTGGATGAAAATTTATCATTGAAGACTGGTACCAATACCACATTGATAAAAAAAATCAAATTCAAAATCGCTGGCATGGAACAAAATGAGAAACAATGTGTTCTGATGTTCGACGAAATGGCATTGAGAAAAGGACTCATGATAAATTTTTTGATGTCATAGAAGGATACCAAGACTTCGGAGAACTTGGTAGATCTGCTAAGCATGCTAATACTGCTATGGTTTTTTATGTGAGGGGTTTACTTTATAATTGGAAAATGCCATTGTGTTATTATTTATCGTCTGGGCCTGTCAAAGGAGACACAATATCCATCTTATTAATGAATGTTATTCATGCATTGCAAAATCTTGGACTCACAGGTCGTATTTGTATATGTGATCAAGGCCCAAATAATAGATCTGCATTTTCCATATTGGAGGCATCTGAAGAAACCCCTGAAATATCAGTTAACGAGAAAGATATTTTCTTATGTTATGATACACCGCATCTTCTCAAAAGCCTTAGAAATAATTTTATGAATACCAAACTGCATATTTATATTGGAGATGAACTTCAAAACACCTGTTACATCTAATAAAATTGAAACATCGAAAGTTCAATCAATAATTCAATAAACCAGTTTTTTTATTGAAATAATTGATACCAGGATCAGAGCAAACACGAATAGTTCTTAATTTTGCTAGTAAAAAAGGACAAAGTTTCCATTTCATTACCCTGGTTTCGTTTTCAATGTGCCATGAATTTATGTCTTGAGTTATTATTTATATTTATTTTCAGGGTGCATATTATTTCATTTTGAATAATAACAAGCAACGTATATAAAATAAAGATGATTAGTGTAACAGTAAGTCGTTCTTTGCGAATAATCGTGGATGCGGCATCAGAATTGGATGCCCAATGTTCTTATTTGTCTCTGACCTATATCGACAGAAGCAATCCTCTATTATTGAAAATGCATGAGAAACTTCAGATAAAAATATCAGGTGCCCAAATGAGTTGCATAAGTTTATTCAACGAAATAATACACATTTGGATAATTATTTCAGTACGAAATCGTCCAAGGAGGACAATAACTCCAAGAGGGCACGGATATTTGATAGTTTCGACTCTTTGCGGTTGGAAATAGATGCTGAATCCCTGGATAATTCTGCGTATAAACTCATATGAAACAAACTAGATTTGAGCTACAAAAATATAAGAACACGCAAACAAATAGACTATTATTATAAAAAATACGTCAGAAACCGTAATGACAATAAATGTGAGTACGGAACGGATGTCCAACTAGAAGAGCAAATCGATCGTTGTATGGAAGAAGTTCCAATAGAACAGCTTGAATTTGTCTGTGAAGAAAATGACATTTATGAACCATGTACGGGAGACACAAATATCATAACTGTTGTAGACACACTTCCTCAGTTGATGGAACATACCGATTTTCAACAAATGTAACGAGAAGAAAATGATATATAAACAATGGTTTGCTCAACACCATACAAAGTGGAAAATCCTCAGATATGAGCGTAAGTCATATTGGCATGAAAACTGTCCAGAAAAATGATGTGACACCTGGAAGCTTCACCATTCCTGAATATTTGATGAATCTATCTACAGATTCTGATTATGAAGTGCTTCCTCGAAATGCTAAGAATGTAGAGAATCTACCCCTTACAAGTTTCGAAGATTGTAAAATCATTGAAGGAACCTTCAATATAGATGAAACTAGGGCAAACATGATAATGAAGAACGGAAAGCTAGTCGATAAATACTACCCTTATTACTTCAGAAACAGAATTTTCAAATACGTTAATAATGTTTGCAACACTGTGATGAAATTCAGAAAAAATAAATAAATCTGTGATGAAAATTTACGCTAAATGTAAAAATAATAATTATAACTGTGAAACGATTGTGGTTATAATCAGAAATCTCTATCTCTCTCTTCATTGAACTTTTGTCATTCAGTACCAGTAAAATCTTATGTGAAAGGAGTAGAACATGAGTTGGCAAAAAATAATATTCTTCACAAGAAACCTTCAGAGTACAAGAGGAAGACCATGCTCCATGCAAATGAGACATTGATAAAATCTGTAAATTTACAGGCAATCAAATCAGACCCAACAGTAAGAAAAATAAAATCTGAGGCAATGGCTCAGTGGGACAAATATTCAATAAATGACTTGACCATGAAGAGTACATACAGGGAGTTTGTATTCCATTGAATATCAAAAATTACAGTAAGGAACAATTTCAAGTAATCGATAAAAGTAGAGTTGATAATGACTTGCCCATACTATACTTCGATGCTACTGGATCAATTGTAAAGAAACTCGAGGGAGTTAAAAAGAGAATTTATCTTTATACAGCTGTTATTCCTACATATCCAGGAAGGATATTCCCAGTATTTGAAATGATATCTGCCACACATTTTGCCAAGACAATCTACAAAATTTTCAATGACTTCAGATGTTTGTGTGAAGAAAATAACAAATGGCCAACATTTGGAGCAGTTGTCACAGACTTCAGCTTTCCAAATTTACACGCCGTGAGTAGGTCTTGAAAACAGATGCACATAACTGGAATATATTGCCAGATGTTATTCAATAGTGAAGGGTGAAATTATTTTTCCAGAATCGTTAGTCACTATCCACCTATGCTGTGCACACTTGATGAGGATTTTTAGTAAAGATATAGAAGAAAAATTTGCAGGCAAAGATGTCGCAGATTTCTTGAAAGATGCCATGGCACTAGCAATCAATACACAAACTCTGGCACAACTAGAAGACTGGTTCATCAACATGGCCGTAATATCATTGAGTCAATTCGCAACGTAAAGAGTTTACAGAAGTCGAAAATGCATATCAAATGGTATCGAAGATATGAATGAAGGCTCTGATAAGGAAGGCAATACCCTCAAAAGTGGAAATATATATAATGAATACGATACTGAGAAAGATAAAGGATTTTTCGATATAATATTGCAGAAGTACATTCCTTTTGCTTCACCCCTGACAGGAATGATGCTTACTTATAGAGGAACATCATCAAGAGTGAGTAACATTTACGTGGAAAATTAGTTTGGTCACTTGAAGAAGAATATATTGCGTGGAGAAAAAAAATCTAAAATGTTTCAGAGTTTTGCAAAAGAGAAGAGAGAATGTCCTTGCATTGCACCAAGAAGTCATTTGGGGCATACCAAAAACAAAATTAGCTAGAGTAGCGAAGGATAAGGACTTGAATAAGGAACATTTCTCCGTAGAAACATGGAATAAAAGAGTCAAAACTATGACTACACATTTCAGAGGCGCATACCTTGAAAATGTTACCTTTTCCGGAGTTATACGAGAAGAAAATGACCGAAATGGTTCTACAGACAAATTGCGAGAACTGCATCTACTGTGGACTAGGTATCTTGGATACTACTGTGTAATGAGTAGCATGCAGTAAATGTGAGAGATGGTTACATCAAAATTGCGAGTTATCTGAACTGAATAAAACATACACCGGAATATTCATCTGCAAGCTCTGTTCGAACTCGAATGAATTTGAAAACGTTCATCTAGAAACGAAGTTCACTCATATTTTACAGAAGCTAGATTGAAAAAGTACACACAGAGATTATGTTCAAGAGATGACAAAGGAACAACGGAAGTGCGCTATGTGGTATTCAGAAAGAAAACTGCGACTGACAGCTTCTAATTTTGGAATTGTATGCAAGGCAACATCATCTAAAGTCAAGCAACGTATTTTGCACTCCTGCATTGAAGCATGGAATAGAAAATGACGGAAAGGCAATTGCAGAATACATAAAGATGACACAAAATCGGTATAAGAAATGTGGTCTAGTTATCCACAAAACATTTTCATTTTTGGCAGAATCTCCAGACGGATTGATCAACGAGGATGGAATCATCGAAATCAAATGTCCATATAAGATTCCAAATGAAGAGCTCATTAGACCACGCGACCTGGTATACCTGAACGATGATGCAAACCTCAAAACGAATAGTATTCATTACTACCGAATCCAAGGATTAATGGAAGTCGTTTTACTACAAATATCAGATGCCAGCGCTGGTTGAAGGAATAACAGCTGAAGAAATTCAGGAAGAGTTGATTTTTCTTGACAATGATTTAGTCAACGATTTGACATACTATAAATCAGCAGTAGATGATAGGGACTACACAATGAGTGTATATAAGGTCGTGAAATTGCCAATTAGAGAACTCAAAGCTTCAGACTGCCACTCCCTCGATGGAAATAATTGGGTGACAAATTTTGTCTTGGACATTGTTCTCAATTTATTTGACGAAACAAGTGCATTTCAAATAATACCAAAGGAAACAGCTTCATATATATTCAATGAATCATCAGGTAATGTAACAGAATATTTCTTGCGGAAAGTACGAATTATCAAAGATCGCATCGCGATGGCAGTTCGAATCAATGGAAACCACCACTGTGTGGTATATATTGACTATGAGTCGAAAAGGTTCAGTTTCATTGATCTATTTACCACTAGTGGAGCCGAAGCCACAGTTTATTTGAAGAAATATAGGGAATTTATGAGGACCTATGATAAATATTTTGAAAACGATACGAGGGACGCTGATAACCTGATTTACATTTACGGCCATTACAAACAGAAAGATTCTCACAACTGTGGACCAATAATCTTGGATTTGTTCCATAAAATAATTCACAATGAAAATATGTATCAAGAACCAGGCTTCCACCCTTAAAGGATGGAACTGCAACGTTTGCTGTTGGAAAAGTCTGATAATATTAATATTCTGTGTCTCATTTGCTCCGCAAGCTTCGAACAAGCAGCATCAGTACAATGTAAATATTGCAAAAGATATATCCATGAAAAATGTGTTACTGATTATCAAAACAGGTCATTTAAACAAAATAATATCTGTGACTTATGCAATCAGTATTAATGGCCACTCACTAATCATCAGTTAGAATGACTGAACTTGCAAATGGATTGAATACTGAACAACATTGATATACATATTATGAGGTTAGGGTAAGGCTGTGAGGGGAGGTAGGAGGCCTTTATGTATGAAAGCCCGAAACACGTGTCTCTCAATCGTGTGTATGTATATAATGTTCAAAGCCCTAATAAAGAGTTAACCGTAGAGAGAGGATTGCTTCAAGATGGCTTTTTACACTAAGGAACTCGGGATTTCAATATACTAACATGTGAGGTTAGGGTAAAGCTGTGAGGGGAGGTCGGAGGCCTTTATACAGGGTGAGTCATGAGGAACTGTACATACTCCTACCACGAACAGAGGACCCCGAGGGGAATATCTAATGGCCATCAGAGAGTGTCTTCTCCTCTTCTTCACTAATATATAGGGTGAATTATGGAATTTGGCAAAAACATCTTTTGGTTATAACTATCCAACAGCTTCTTCGATTTTTCTGATTTTTTCATGGAATATTCTTCTACTACTCTCTAATCGAATAACTTATTCAGAATCAGAAAAATCCAGGACCGTTCTTGAAAAATTTTGCTAGTTCAGCTTATATCAAAAAGTTCACCCTGTATTTGGTTCTCGTAAACTGTGATATGGAATTTTCGAAGGTCACAAACATGCTTCAGAAATGAAATATTCAAAATGTTCCTCACACTTTCACTGAATTTTTAAAAAAATGATGAATTTTGAGCAAAAACGAAAGTTTGACAAAAAATTTATTTATTTGAAAATAAACACTTGGCAATGCATAAATTCCACATATACAAGCAAGACTTACATTTTCAATGATTCAGCTCGATGGAAATCAACAATTTTCTCTTATTTCTAGTTCTGGATTTCGTCATTTAATTTTTTTGTGGAGGGTAATAATCACCCTGTAGATATTTTTCGAATCATAAATGGTATCTGGAGAGATCATTGACCCAAAATACACTAAAAAATGTCAAATTATCTTCACCATCAGGTTACCTAATACACTTGAAAATTAGAACCGGTCGAAGGAGTCTATGACAATTTGACAGTTTCATTGTTTGAATCTATTTACCTAATGTCAAGTAATGTGTATGCCATAAGTTTTCACTGCTTGTGTTCACTAGTTAACTCTGAGATTATACATATCAGGTGTCAGTTGAGTTTTTTTACTGCATGTGACAAATTGAAAATGCCGAATCAATTTTCAACAGCAGAATATGCCGATATTATTTTTGTATATGGATTATGTGATGGTAATGGTAGAGCATCGGTTAGACTGGTTAGAGAATACCAAAGAAGATTTCCCGCACGTCGAGTTCCCAATCATCAAACGTTCGGATCTGTTTTCAATTATTTGAAAGAAAACGGGACATTTCCAAAATCAAAATCAGAAAGGAATGTGGATTTCGTAGAAGAAGAGAACATACTCCATGCTGTCGAAGAAAATCCTAAAATAAGTACCAGAAAAGTAAGCTTACGATTAGATGTTTCCCAATCAAGAGTGAGTAGAGTTTTACGGAAGAACAAATTACACCCATACCATATCTAACAAGTGCAAAGGTTACACCCTGGAGATGAAATACAACGTTTACAATTTGCTAGATGGGTTGCTAATAATGATCTTTTATTGTATAGAACTTTGTTCAGTGACGAAGCGCAGTTTACAAGAGATGGAATAAATAATTCTCGGAACTCACATATCTGGGCCGAAGAAAACCCTCATGCTATTCGCGAATGTCGCTCGCAGTACAGGTTTTCTGTGAATGTATGGATTGCAGTAGTGAATGACCAGCTGATAGGTCCTCATTTTTTCGATGGTCCATTAACAGGAGCAGTTTACTTGAACTTTCTGCAGAATATTTTGCCCAATCTGCTAGCCAACGTAGGTATCAGAGGAATGTACTTTCAGCACGACGGTGCATCACCCCATTTTTTGGTGGCTGTACGCCAACACCTGCATGCCACCTTTGGAAACAGGTGGATAGGACGCGGAGGTCCAATTCCATGGCCACCGAGGTCTCCTGACTTCAACCCCATTGACTATTTCATTTGGGTCCGATTGAAAGAAATGGTCTATCACGAAAATTTCAACACACGGCAGGAACTGATTGACAGAATTATTCATTGTTGCAACATTATTAGAAATGATCCCATAACAATCAGGAAGTCAATCAGGCATTTGACAGTCCGGCAAGAAAACGCAGGAGGATTCCATTTCGAAAATGTTTTATGATTATTAATTCTCAGTTTTATCTATTAGATTTGTTTCATTCAGTTTTTTTGGTCACTTATTCTCCGTACAGAATTATCCTTTCTTTGTTAGTACCTATAGCTTTTGTGAAATTGTGAATAAACCTCCATTTTCTGTTCGACTATCTAGAATTATTTAGATCAATGGCCATTCACATCCATATAGATACCCCATCCAGTGATTTGAAAAAGATCCACAGGGTGATTATTACCCTCCACAAAAAAATAAAATGACGAAATCCAGAACTAGAAATAAGAGAAAATTGTTGATTTCCATCGAGCTGAATCATTGAAAATGTAAGTCTTGCTTGTATTTGTGGAATTTATGCATTGCCAAGTGTTCATTTTCAAATAAATAAATTTTTTGTCAAACTTTCGTTTTTGCTCAAAATTCATCATTTTTTTAAAAATTCAGTGAAAGTGTGAGGAACATTTTGAATATTTCATTTTTGAAGCATGTTTGTGACCTTCGAAAATTCCATGTCACAGTTTACGAGAACCAAATACAGGGTGAACTTTTTGATATAAGCTGAACTAGCAAAATTTTTCAAGAACGGTCCTGGATTTTTCTGATTCTGAATAAGTTATTCGATTAGAGAGTAGTAGAAGAATATTCCATGAAAAAATCAGAAAAATCGAAGAAGCTGTTGGATAGTTATAACCAAAAGATGTTTTTGCCAAATTCCATAATTCACCCTATATATTAGTGAAGAAGAGGAGAAGACACTTTCTGATTGCCATTAGATATTTCCCTCGGGGTCCTCTGTTCGTGGTAGGAGTATGTACAGTTCCTCATGACTCACCCTGTATATAGAATATTGTTTTCCCTCGCTCTTACATTTTGTTCAAATGGGGCGTCATCCATTAAAACTTCATCTACTCCTCCTTCTCTTGGCATATCCTAGAAATTGATAAAAATCACTCAATTATTTATCGCACACTTCAATATAATCAGATATGCTCACATCATAATTTGAATTATTCAAGTCGACTCTTGCAATCACCATTAGAGCTTCGTTGAGCTCGTCCACTTTTTTTTTGTTAGGAATTCTTCTGACCATTATAATAATCATCATAGACCATGAATATTGAAATTAGTATAATATAACTAGAAGTAATATTTTATCCAGCATCCGACTTTTTGATCCAAGAATTGTGGTCATCTGAGAACCCCAACCATTTGACGAAAATTCTATTTTTTTGGCGTTTCAAAATCTTCTCTACTAGATACACATCAGGATATTTTGTTTTCGATAGCTCCAACTCATGAAAACACCCTTTGATTGGATTGCCATCAAAGTCTTCTAGTAAATATGTAATTGGATCGGATATTTTTACTTTGCTTAATTTGCTGTCTATCCTGGTTCGAAGACCGATTTATAACGACTGATTCTAACAATATCGCCTACTGGGAATTTTGGTTTCAAAACTACTGTCGAGTTATTATATAACGATTTCAGCCGCATTGTGGAAATCACATTTTTTGGTGTCATCCCAATTGTACGATGTTTTCTATCATTGTACTTATCGACAAGTTGGGGTAATATATCTAACCATTTGTATTTACCAATGATTGAAAATTCTTTATAAATCCAATTTTTCAATGTTCGAATGACGCGCTCAACAATCGCAGCTTTTTTAGTGCTAAACGTGGAGTAGTGATTTATTTTATGAGCAATCATCAATTGTTTGAACCAATGGTTATAAAACTCTTTCTCAGCATCGCTCTGAATATGTTTCGGTGTATTCAATACTTTTTTCATAGCTTCAGCAACATCCATTCCAGTTTTTTTTTAATCGGTTGAGTCCAGACATATTTAGAATAGCAATCAATAACGAAGAGAAAATATCTGTAACCTTTATTTTCTTTAGCATATGATTGTATTTCGGCGAGATCAATCTGCCATAAATCAGCGAATCCCCTAATTATTGTTCTTCGCCTTTTGAAATTGCGTCGTGCCACAGTGTGCAGTTCATTTGCTATTTGCCTTTTAACATAATTCGACATTTCTCAAATATTATCGATATATTTAGCTTTTCAATTGCTAACATGAATCGAATCAACCATTCACCATTCGATATCAAGTATAACTAATGAATTTTTAGATTATTTATTTCATTATAAACTTTATTGCATCTACTCTCTTATTTATAGAATTCACTGTACAATCCCCTCTTCTCGTAATTCTGATATGATTGACATTATTTCATTATCGTGTCCAGAATGTCCCGATGATTTTGAACCCCACAATAAACGTAATCGATCAATTATTTCTTTCGGTCTATTCCAATAGACATATTCCTTTTCCAATGTGTTGAAATGTTTTTTTGTCGGAATCTTTTTCAACTTTCCACCTTTTTTTCTCATCCCATAAGGGGTTTTGACTGATGGTTTGATCAATTCCCGAAATTTTTTGGAATTGGAAAAGTTTAACCCCTGTCGTAATTCAAAATTTTTGTATGGAGCTCTCGTCAATTCCATTATTGCAGCGAACTTCAACATATTATCGTTTCTGATTCTCAATGGAGGGTGT